CCCCCCCCCCCCCCCCCATCTGCATCATTTTCTTCTCCACTTCCGTGAACCCATCCAACCCCGTCCCCTGCCTTCATGCATGTGAAATCCACACTGCAGACAGCAAATATACAAACGCCTTTACCCTCCACATAAGGCAAGCATGTGAGTGCTCTTCTGGTTCAGCAGGTGATGGTCACTGGCAGTCCTCGTGAGCGGGAAAATAACGACTACTCCCCAATCAATTTCCTTCCTTGTAGCAATAGGACCGCAGAGCTGATCCTGCTTCGCCTGCCTTCTATGAGGCAGCACCATTGTTATCCTCCTGGATGTGGCTGCCACATAGATCGGCGCCCCCGTTCGGCTCCCAAGGATGGGTGAAAACTCCGCCTTTCTGGGTCGCAACGTCATCGAAACTGGAGTGGATTCAAGGCCCAGCCTTTGGACAAATTGGAGGAAATTGTCTGTAATGATTACCAAATCAACGAGAAGTAGCAGCGGCCTCATCACAATCTTCATGGGATGTGGTTGGTTGGGGATGTCCCTTCCCAATGCACTTGATGCAATATGCTTTCTCATCATAATCTCAGACTCTGCGCCCCATCTGAGGGATCTGCAGTGAGCAAGAAAGAGAACAGCAGCGACCACCCCACCATCCAAGCAGCAGACATTCCCATCCACCACAGACAACGACCATCATGAGAATGCTGCTCCCTCTACTGCATCTCCCAAAAGTGGCTGACCAAAAGAAGACATCATCACTCCATTCCCCCTCTTCAAATCATCATGAATCAAATGTTTGGGCTAACAGGGCAGATTTTAGCGTTGAAAGTCCACTCCCTTCAAACAATCGAATGCTTATTTTAACTCGGAATGTGTTTTTGCAATAGGGTTTTGTTAATGTTCTTCTGTGTCGCCCCCCCCCCCCCCCCCCCCACCCACCCCCCTTGCAATAGGGTTTTCTTGCCTATTTCAAACTAAAAGTGTGTCGCAACCACAGTTTCCCCTTCATTATTTTCGCATGTCTGTTTCTTTTTTATGTTCGTAGTACTATGAGCCCATATTTTTTGACATTTAAGTCTTTCAATATGTTGCATGTAGTGATGCGGCGCAGAAAAAAAAGGGCGGATTTCTGGCCCTCCCTAAACGATCTCACTGTTGCACGGTCCAAAAAGGAAAGAACCGCAACTCACTGCTTACCATTTGCCTGGAATTAGGGTCTTGTATCCATTGAAGTCTGCTCATGTTGGGATGCTCTGTGAACAACATGCAAAACCTGCAGCAGAAGCCAAGAGAGCACACAAGGGGTGAAAGAGCACCCAAGCAAGCACAATGTCAGTGACAAGTCAGATTGGGTGGCATGCCCTCCTCCACCCAAGCAAGCACAATGTCAGTGACAAGTCAGATTGGGTGGCATGCCCTCCTCTTCGATCATCTACATTACTTTTCTATCATCTACATTACTCGAAAGAAGCCCATCAGCAGGACAGATTCTGAAGAAAGCTGCCAGACCACTCTGGGACAAGAAAATAACAGAAACAGTGGCAACAGCCACAAAGCGGATAGCCCTTGCAACCAGGTGAGAGGCAAAGCAGGGGGACAAGACCACCGTAAATCATCATCGAAAACACCCACCCMCCCMCCCACCCMCCCACCGCCCSMCMGACATGACCATGCACCAAGAGCGTGGTTGGCCACAGCCTCGAGGCCTCCACCATATACCATCATCGAAAACACCCACCCACCCTCCCGACGCCCGACAGCCTTCGCTAACATTTCCATGACCCCCAAGTGAAATGAAGACTCATCGAAGCGGCAGTGACCGACTTACTCTCCAATCTTTTCAAGATGCCCCTTTTTCCCCGCGCGCAGCACCAAGTTCGTCTTGTGGAAAGAGAAGATCCTGCAACAACGAAACAGAAGCACATCACAAGTAACAAGTCATATCAGCGACACATGCCATAAGCAGCAGCCTACTGTGGATCAGTTTCAATTTCTAACCAGTTGGAGAGGCCCAGCACAATCAGAAAATGGGGACAGAACAGCTTACGGACGTAGACTAGAGAACATGCGGGAGACGGAGGGGCTCTGCCTCGTTGGCATCGAGGGGTGCAAAAAAAAGGGGGTGCGCAGACGGGATGGGAGCGCAAGCACACCCTATGATCCCCCCTCACAGAAAGCTCATGATGGGCGGGAAATTTACATTTACAGTAGTACCCAAGACACTCATCATAAGCAATATCCATCCTCCGCTGATGGCAGGCCTTTTTTTTTTTTTTACACCTCACCTTTGTGTCTACTTCGTGTCAAACTTCATGTCCCTATTTCCACCACGTACCACTGAAAAACGAAATTGAAATAACGCCAATTATTGCTGCGCTACCTCACAATTGGCCCCGATACCTGTACCTCCTGCCCCTCTCACGATCCTATTGCTATGGCCTACAAAGGGGCAGGGGCTGCGAATAACTAGCTCCTCCTTTATATATTCACACTCGGCCCCTCCATCACCTATGCAGTCCGCATTCGCAAGCTTCATTGCATACCTGCACGTCTACAACTCCCCACACCAGCACAGCAAATGGCAAGTTTCTTTTTCTCCATGTTTTTACGACTCGTCACCGTTTTCAGTCTTTTGCCATGTTGCATAATTTTTTTTGGTGTTTCCAACTTTCAGTGTGCTTGCACTTTGTCAGTTCCTTGTGTCTTCGATTGCCGAGACGCCGTGACTTCACCAGGAAATTAAAAAAAAAACACAGAGGCTCAAGAGGAAAAAATCAGGGTCTGAGCAGTTGAGGGCGTGAGGCCTTGTAGAGACCAAGTATCGGGATACAGGGATGAGGAAGGTAGGGGTGGGCTACTGAAAGGCTCTAAGGCAGGTATTTCTCGATCTTAATGTTCTTCAGATGTTTGTTAGCACTTGGTGCAAGTTGTTCTCAGATTTTTCTTAAAAAAACTATCACCAAAGGGCGTCCCTGCTCAGTTAACCCCCTGGTTCCGGGGCACCAAGTGGTCCTTCGGCCTCCTAAAAGGGCCGGAGGACCACCCGAGGCCCGGTAATTTCCCACTCAGCAAAGGGTACTCACCGGTGTAACGCAGTTGGTACACCCATGAACTGTTGAAACACAGACCCAAGTTCGAATCCTGATGGACCTAGATGATCGATTTCAATCCAAACGTTCTGAATTACCTGGGCCAGGTCTCATTGATGATGATATCAGAAGGGCATCACCTTCAAAAAAAAAAAAAAAAAAAAAAAAGGAATGACCTGGGAAACGGAGGTAGGTGAACTCCCAAGAATTATCACGTGATTAGCAGGCCTCTTACTTGGTAGACTCCCAGCCCTAAGCAGCCCAAAAGGCTGCCGCAGGCAGGCTATGTGGGTTCTAGAGGGGTTGTGGGTGACTGGGACTGGCAGCTCTTGGTCCCGAATGGTCATTGTTTTTCGGGATCAGGTGCGTTTTACAACCCCAGACCACAGCCTCAAAGCTTTCTTTTTTTTTTTCTTTTTTTTTTTACAGGACATTTTCTCAACAAGAACCGGTCGTACATCGCACCTACCTCTTTCGAAAAAAGTCGATCTGGAAAAAATGTCCTGAGGCTGTGGGCTGGGGTAGTCTGGCGGGGAGAGGAGGAGGAGGGAGAGTGGGGGGAGGGGAGGGGGTGTGCAAAACCGCGCAACTGAGTTTTAGGGCCTCGCCACACCAATGTTGAAACATCACGAAATTCGACATATGTCAGGAAATTTTCGACATTCCCTCTTTCGACAGAAAAACCCTCTTCGCCACACAGCATGGCGGAGTGAAGAACTCACGAGTCCTATGCACAAAAGAGACAAACTGGGGTAAAGATAGGACAAGCGTTGGTGCGTTCTCTTTTTCGACATTCGGGCAAGAGTTCGACATCCCATCCGAGGACTGTTGAAAATCTCCAAGTTGCAGGCCTGAAGTGGAAACGAGCCCTTCTCGACAGGAGGTGTCAAACCCTTTCCCTGACAGCTCCTGAATTTTTTCTGCATCTCGGATTTCGACATGCTGTGTGGCGAGGAGAAAATGTCGAAAATGCAGTTTTCAGCATTGGTGTGGCGAGGCCCTTGATGTTTTTGCAGTGTTCTTGTCACCCCAAGATTGCAGGCATGTTGTACGAGTTTTGGGGTGCCATTATTCTTTGGATAACGGCTGTTGCCGTTGTTGAACTAACTGCCCGGAGTGAGGGCATACTCACACTGGGACTTTTTTTCTGCTAAGCTCTAGACATGATCGTGGTCAGATTCACCCAGGTCTATCCATAATTGCGATAAGATACATTGAGGAAAGTGCTAGCGTGAGTATGCCCTGAGGCAGGGAAGTTCTATTCTTCAAAGGCGAAAGCATGTTCATCTGTCCATGCGCACGCACCGAAAAAGGAAAAGAAACCATCCCTTGCAGCGAGTATCTGACAGATTCTATCCCGCATACCTACGGATTGACATCAAAGGATGCAAGTGACCTTTTTGGTCCGATTCATCCACCTCTTGCCGTAATTGCGGTCAGATACGTTCAGGAAAGTGCTAGTGTGAGTATGCCCTGAGGCAAGGAAGTGAGTTCAAAGGCGAAAGCATGTTCATCTGTGCATGGGCATAAACCAAAATAGAAAGAAAGAAAAGAAAAAAAAAAGAAAAAGAAACCATCATGCGTTGCAGGGAGGAGTGTCTGACAGATTCACTCAAGCAAATGTACGTATTGACATCAAAGCATGCGAGTGAGCTTTGCCACATATAGCAATGAATTCTCGGAACATGGAAAGATACACCACATCGAAAAGCACAATTTTTGGTTTTCCAAATTCCAGTAGTAAAATGCGATTCTCCCCTTTTTTTTCCTTTCTTTTTGCCAAAAGAGGGCCCGCACCATCATTAATCCTTTTTTTTCAAATTTGGGTAGAGTAAAATTCGCGAAGCCACACCAGCTCAACAGCACGAGTGGGATGAGGCCCCAGTAATAATCCTTTTCCAGGTTGAATTGTTGGGTTCCCAGCCCAGTTTTTTTTTTTTTTTTTTTCAGTGTTTCTTTTATTTCGAAGGGCCCAGTGCCCACAACGCCATACATCTGGAGGCCAATGAAACTCCAGCCCAAATCTGTCAGCAGACCTCCGCCTCCACTAATCATTGGTCTCAGAGATCTGGGACTAATCATTGGCCCCACTGCCCACTGCTCCACTCTGTGGGCAGACCTCCACCTTCCCGTTTAAACCACTGATCATTGGTTCAAACGGCTATCTTCCCCAAGGGGAGGTCTATCTATCTTCACCAACGCCCAGCAGAAGCAACACCCTGTTCGCTGTCTAAGACATGGATCCCACATTCTAATGCTTTCAAGAGTCAAGCGCCCCCCTCTTGACCAACAAATGTGAAAGGGATGTTTTTTTTTTTCTTTTTTTTTTTTTTTTTTAATTTGGACCATTTCTCGATTTATGCATGTCATCCTTGTGCAGCAGCCATGCTATAATCTTCCTTCTCTGTATCGTTCCAATTTTAACGGATATCCGGAAGGCCAGCATTTTTTTAATCTCATATGGCGGAGCACTCTTTTGGAAATTGCCCTGGAAATGGGCCAGTCGAAGGGAGCAGTCTGCACCCTTATAAATGGCTGGACGAACAACAACATGAGCGGAGAAGACTTCTCTTCCTCGTCAACTTGAGGGGTGGCTGCTCATACCACCACCTCTAGTAAAAGTCGCTTGCTTTTTTTGTTTTAAAAATAATAAAAATAATAAATTAATTAAAAAAGAAAAAGAAAAAAGAGGGTCTGATCCATGAGTACTTACCCGAAAGCTCTTTCAGGTACGATTTGGGATCCCATGTGCTTCCACGTTAGTACGGCCAGGCAGAGTATTTGGCACAGCTTTCGGACCGTACCGTGGCTATCGTGACACTACACATGCAACTGTCGCCACAAATGGGGTTGGAAATTAAAATTTTCTGAAGTCCTGGACCCCTACCCGCCCGCATGAAAGAAGGGGCAGATGTTTGTTTATTTTATGTGATTTTTCCATGTCCATCCGTCCTTAGTACCTGATCCCACGTTCGTTAGTAGAGGAACTTTCGAAGAAAAATTGGGACCCCACATAATTCCCCGTCCCCACATAATTCCCCGTCCGAAGGCGTTGGAAAATAGAGCGCCTGTTGCTACTCTCAAGATGGTGCGTGCCGTGACGCGCGCAACCCACGGCGCGTGGTGTGTATGGAATTCCCAGGAGTCCTGCACCCCTCCCATCCCCCTAAAAGTAGGCATTTTTTGCAAAGTTTTTTTTTTGTTTTTTTTTGGCTCTCCGTCCGGTTTGGCGTCCGTGGTCCACCGAATTGTGTGACACACGCCCTCTCTGAAGAACCCAGCCTCTCCAAAGGACCCGTCGACGCCCATCCCGAATCGGCTAGTCAGCCATAAGAACTCCGCGGCGTCCACCCGTGTGGGATCCGGTTTTTTTTTTTTTTTTACGAGTCGTGAGGAACGGGCCTGACTTGTAAGGAAGGAACTTCTCCAATTTTTTGGTAAAAGTTCGTTGTGGGATCCGCCTAGTGGATCGGTCTCATGCCGCGCACAGGCCCTTCATTTGTCCGCAAAGGTCGTGTGGGGACCTCGATGACCACGACACACCCATAAGAAACTATATGAGGAAGAAGGGATAAAGAGAGAGAGAGAGAAAAAAAAGAAAAAAAAAAAAAGAAACCACTCTATCCTGAAAGCTCCGCGCACAGCGGGGCAGTGGGGCTGCATTTTTCTTTCTCCTTCCGCGCGCATCCAGCTTTTTCGGTTCTTTTTGGTTTTCTCAAAACTCAAGTAATGTCAGATCAGACCCGACGCACCTGTGAAAGGTCGACGCACAGCGGGGCAGTGGGGTTGGGCTTGCATTTTTTTTCCCCCT